CCTCATGTTCAAATGTGGAAAAGCAGAAATATTAAATCCTTTCTTTACTAACTCAGTGCAATAGAATTATATTCAATAAAGGTCACTGCAGAAGTGATTAAAAAGTAAAAAGAATAAAAAAGACAACAACATTGGAAAACCACATGAATTCTATATAAGTAAAAAAAAAAAAGACTAGCCCTTAATATAGAATGCTCAGAAAATATTTAAGGATTATAGATTATCCAGAAAAAAGCTAAATTTATTCCATGCTTTACAATATAATATAAGAAAAGTCAGGAAGTTTACACAAAGGAAGTGAGGATGGAATTCATTCTAGATATGGAGGCCCATCTGTGCAAAAAACAAGGGAATAAGGTATAAAATGCCATGTAGAGAAAATTTTAATAGAACAGAGAGTACATGAAGAAGAGTAAAATGAAATAAGTCTAGAAAGGTAGACAGGAGTCATATTACATAGAGATTTAAATACTATGCTAAGAATTTGGCATTTTGTCTTAGCATCAATAGGGAGTTATTGCAGATTTTTGAGTAAGGAAGTGATGTAGTCAGAGGACTGAGAATCCAGACATTATAGAGTAGGCTTCCACAGTATAACAGCTCCAAGACAATCTTCCCTTATACTTCATCTCTAAGAGGTGCATTAACTCTCCAGTTGGCTTACGGATACCAGATTCTTGAGAATCAGCTCAGAGGAGCATCTTGGACCTGCATCATCATCTTCATCTTCGCCATCACCATCATCATGGATAGCTAGCATTTATATAGCACTTTAAAGTTTGCAAAGCACTTTACAAATATCTCATTTTATCCTCATGATGACACTGGGTGGTAGATGCTATTATTATCCCCATTTTTCAGATGAGCAAACTGATGCAAACAGAGACTAGGTTATTTTCCCAGGCCACACAGCTAGTAAGTGTCTGAGGTAAGATTTGAACTTAGGTTTTCCTGACTTCCTGATCATATGTCCAGCATTTTATCCACTGTGCCACCCAGCTGTCACCAATTGTAGATGGGAGGATATTTCATTAGGCAGATAGATGGATGAGTAGAGAAACTATTTTGGTGGAGCATGGTCCCTGCCTTACATGTGGAGAGACTTTCTCAAATTTTCATTTTCATTCTAGACATATGTGTTTCTTCTGCAACTTCATGGAGCCATGAAAAGGTCAGTTCCAACTCTTCATTTAATATATGCACATACATATTGAGTATGACTTTATGATTGTGATTGTGTGTGCATACAGAACTAGTGGATAGAGTAAGAGTGAATATTTTTATTGCCAGAAAGAAAAACTGAGCTATTTTGCAATTACTAATGAATCAACAATCAGTAAACATTAAGTACCTACTATGTGTCAGGCATTATGCTAAGTGCTGGGGATAAGAAAAGGGGAAAAAGAACAACAGTTCTTGCTCTGAAGTAGCTTATGATCCAATATGGGAGACAACATGCCAACAAATATATACAAAATAAGCTATATAAAGAATAAATAAGAAATACTTAGTGAGGGAAGGCACTAGAACTAACAGGGTTTGGGGAAGGCTTTCGTTGGGATGTTAATTTTCCCTCCTGTTTTCTTTATTAGAAAAAATTAAGTGGCCATTCCCCTTCCCCCAGGGCAAGAGGGGCCTTACTGGTTAATTCCTCAAGCTTCTTGGGCTACTGGATTGCTGAACCCTGTCTTTCTGCTGGTTCAGCTGTTGCAGGGTTTTTCCTGGGGTGATATTTTCTGGGCTTTCAGAGGTTAATAAGGGATGGTGAGAGTGACTTACTAATTGCCTCTATCTATTGTTTGCTTAAGAATACATTTCTTACCCATAGCTATGAGAAGTATATGATTTTTTCTAACTTTTTATAAAATTATCTTTCATATTAAGGTCATGTGTTAATTTAGAATGTATTGTGGCAAGTTGTTGGTCTAGGCCTAATTTCTGCTAGACTGCTTTCTAGTTTTCTCAAAAGTTTTCTTTTTTTATCAAATTGGGACTTTTTCTCTAGGTAATTTAGATTTTCCCCTTCATCAAACATTGGGTTTTTGACTTCTATTGTTTCTGAATCTGCCTTGTCTGTTTTGTTGACCTATCACTCTATTTTTGTTTTTGATGTTTTGATGCCTGCCGCTTTATAATATAGTTTGTGATCTGGAAGTGTTCTTCTACTTTAGTCTTCTTTTTATGATTTACCTTGATATTCTAGGTCTTCTGTTTTTGCAACTGAATTTTGTTATTACGTTATCAAGTGCCATAAGGTATCCTCTTGATAATTTGTTCAGTATAGCATTAAAAGTTTTTAGTTTTCATAATACTGTAGTATTTATTAAATTGAAATGGCCTAGCCATAAGCACTGAATATTCCTCCACTGAATATTTATGTTCTTTATTTCTTTAAAGAGCACTTTAGTATTGGGAAGTTGATACTCAGGTATTTTATGTATTTTGTCATTATTTGGAATGGAATTTTCCTTTCTATTGTTGCTTCTCATATTTTATTATTACTCTATAGAATTATTATTTATTTTTGAATATTCATGTTGAAGTTTGTAAGCTTGCTGAATTGTTTCAAATAGTATCTTTACTGGTTCACTGGGGATTTTGAAGTAAAAATCCTATTATTAACAATCAGGGATAGTTTTATCTCATCTTTACTTATCATTATTTCTTCAATTCCTTTTACTTTTCTTTTTGCTATTGCTAGCATTTCTAGAGCTATTTCAAATAAAAGCAGGGAGAGTAAGCATTCTTGCTTTACTCCTGTATTTATTGGGAAAAGGTTCTGATATATCCTGCTTGCAAATGATGCTTGACTTTTGTTTTAGCTAATTTTTTCTGTTTTTTTAAAAAAGAGATCCCTATAGGCCTTTCTAGAGTGTTTAGCATAAATGAGTGTTATACTCTTCCTGTATCTATTGAGATATTTATGTGGCTTTAGATGTTTTGATTTCAATATGAGTAATTGTATTAATTATTTTTCTAATGTCACACTGTCCTTGCATCCCTACTATAAATCTCACTTAATCATGATGAATGATTGCTGTGATGAGTTGTTTTATGCTTCTTGACAGGATTTTGTCTAAAACTTTTGAGTCAATGGTCATTAATGATATTGTCATATAGTTTAATTTCTATATTTTATCTTTTCATATCTTTAAAATTGAGTTATTAATACTATATTTGTCTCAAAAAAGGATTTGGTAGTTTTTCTCTGTTTTGGAGAATCATTTGTGAAGTATAGGTATTAAGTATTCTTTAAAAGTTTGATAGAATTCACCTGTGAATGAGGGTCAGAAAATTTTTTTTCCTTTGGCAATTCTTTTACAGCTTGACTTATTTCCTTTTCTGAGATTGGATTATTTTAAACTTCTATTTGGTCTTCTAATAGGTTAAGTGTTTTATGTTTTTGAAAGTATTCTTTTATTTCTTTTGTGTTCTCTGTTAACCTATAACTGTGTATATTTTGATTATTCTTTTTATTTCTTCTGATTGTGTTGTGTTTCATCTTGCTTATTTGTTATTTTATTTTCTACCCTCTTCTTTTTAATCAGATTGGCTAAATAGTTATCAATTTTATTTTTCTTTTCAAAGACTCATCTTTTAATTTTCTTTAATTTTCCCATATATTTTTTGGTTTCAGTTTATCTATTTCTCTTCTAATTTTAATGTCTTTTATTTTGTGATTATTTTAGCTTTATTTGGTTTTCAAATTTTTACATATAGATTCACTTCATTAATTTTCTCTTAATATCTTATTAATAGGGATATGATTTTTCCATGTAAAGAACAATTTAATTGCCAGAGATGTGGATAATGTTATTTCATCACTACCATTTTCTTTCAAATAATTATTAGTTGTTTCTATGCTTCATTCTTGGACCCACTCCTTACTTAGTATTTCATTATTAAGACTATATTTGGGTCTATGTCTTTTGTTTGTATTTCCTGACCCAATGACTACTTCTACAGCACGAAACTATTCCTGTGCATTTTGAAGACATGTAAGAATGGGTGGCAATTGAAAGCCCCTTTCCCTCTAAGTGGATTTATACAGTAGGTACCACCCTGTTCTACACTTACATACCATCTGTATAGCCTGGGCTGGGAGAGATCAGTTCTCAATGCATTTTAAACTGTATGTGACTTTGTAAGAGTACTTATGTAGCACAGACATCTTTTTATTTTCTTCTTTTTCTTCTGTGGTAACTTCTGTTATTTAATTATTTTTCTTGCAATTTTTATTGCTTGGCAATGTCTTTATTGTTTGAAGTTAGCCAAGCATGACATTTATGCAGAAATGAGTTGTTTTGCTTCACATCCATAATGAAAGTCTATTGGTCTGCTTTAAAGGAAGGAAATTTGTGGCATTGTGGGCAGGAAAGAGAAGGTTTTCCATAAATGTTATAAAGAGATTTGGAAGGAAGCTTTCTTACTCTTTATTTTTATCCTCCAGAATCACGTAATCATAGAATTACATAGTGTCCTCCTATTGAAGACTTCGGTAGGAAGTAATTTTTTACTTTTTTAAAAACCAATAAAAAGAAATTCTGAAAGACATGTATTAATTAATATTAATTCACCCCCTTATGGACAAGACAGAGTAAATCATTATTAAACTTTACCAACTTAGCATGAACTAGTTTATCAGCTTTCATTCCAACTGTGTCAAGGGATTTAGAAAGGGCTTTTAAAACAGTATTTGCATATGAAAGTTTAGCTTGGATATAGGAGTGATAAATTAGAAGATTAACATGAGTGGTATATTTCGGTAGAGCATCTAGGCAGTGATGTCTAGGCAGCTTAATCACACATGACTCCTGGATAGTCATGCAACAAGGGCATGCAAAATAGGATGAGGAAATTAACAGAAGAGGAAACAGGGCATGAAAGTCATAGTTTCACCTATGCCTCAATTATGCAAAAGTGAGGTCCTTTTCTGGAGGAGAATTGGAAAGAAAATAGAAAATCATGATGAATTTTGATTTGGCTAATTATTTTGTGGATTATTGCAGTGCCTCACCTTTCATAACTTTCTTCAGTGAGTCCTTCACATCCTTGTTCCTCAGACTGTAGATCAGGGGATTCAGCATGGGGATAACCATAGTATAAATCACTGAAGCCACCTTTTCCTGGATTACATTGTAACTAGACACTGGCTTATAATACGTGAAAATAATGGACCCATAAAATATGATAACACCTGCTAGATGGGAGCCACAGGTACTGAAGGCTTTGGATTGCCCTTTTGCAGTGTGGATACCAAGGATGCTGGAGAAAATAAAAGCATAAGAGATAAAAATCGGTAGTATGGTCACCAATGAATGGAAACCAACAAGAAACATCATCAGAAGCTCATTGATGTAAGTGCTAGAGCAGGAGAGCTTCAGGAGGGGAAGGACGTCACAGAAGTAATTGCTGATGACATTGTCCTCACAGAAAAGCAATCTGGCCAAGTAGGCTGTTTGAATCAGGCCTGAAAAAGTGCCCATTGTATATACCCCTGACACCAGCAGGGAGCAGACTCTTTGGGACATGGTGCTATAATAGAGCAGGGGGCTACATATAGCAACATAACAATCATAGGCCATAGCTGTCAGCATGTAGCACTCTGAAACAGCAAAAGAACATAAGAAAAAGAACTGGGTCAAGCACCCTGAGTAGGAGATGATGTCTTTCTTTGATACAAAGTTCATCAACATTTTGTGGGTAATGACAGAAGAGTAACAGAAAGCTATGAAGGACAAGTTACTGAGAAAATAATACATGGGGGTGTGAAGCTGAGAACTGATTCTGGCTAGTAGAATCAATACTGAATTCCCCACCATGGAGACATTGTAGATTCCTAAGAACAGGATAAAGAGGGGGAGTTGGAGTTCTGGCTGGTTACTTAATCCCATAATGATAAATTCAGTCACTATAGAGTGATTCTCTGAAGTCATTGTCCTTTGAGAGTTGGGGTGATGATCTACAGAAATGGAAATGAACAGACTAATTAGGCAAAATAGAAGTTGGCACATATTTTCTGATTCAAGAAAGGCCTTATGATTTCAGTCAAAGGTTGATCTAGGAATGGATGACCTATAAAACCATACTGACCTATAAAAACCTCAAGGGTCTGAAACCTATGCTTATCTCAGATCTGAGTCAAACTTCCCTAAAGCTACAGAGACAAATGTATACTCAGGGTAGAACAACCATGTGAAACCAATGGAGCCCAAAGCTAGTGAATAGCTGTGGCCCATACAATATTACAGTCTACAAAAATGCACATGTATAACCTATATCAGATCTCTTGCCATCTCAGAGAGGAGAAACTGGAGGGAAGGAGGAAGGGATAGAATTTGGAATTCAAAACTAAAAAAAAAACATCACAAATGTTAAAATTGTCTTAACATGTAATTGAGGAAAAATAAAATATTATTTTTAAAATGAAAAAGGAAATCCAATATATATCAACATATTAATTGCAATACTTTTTTGTGGCAGCAAAAAACTGGGAACAAAGTGGGTATCCATTGGATGATGGATTTGTGGTACATAAATGAGTGATATAATAAGAAAAAAAATAAAGTTGAATAGCACCCAGGCCATGGACAGGTCTATAATGTGCATATGAAGGCCACAACACATTGCAAGCAAGGAATTACAGAGCAGAATGAGTGTAAAAAATGCCATCAAATAAATGTATGATCAAAAAAAAAAAGATGGCTGGCCACATGGAGAGAATTAAGAAAATTGATTGATATTTTGTGTGCTGTTATAAAACTAGAGGCAAGGAGAACTCAAGGAAAGAAGCTAGTATTTTCGGTGGACCCCTTGTAGTAATGTATGGACATGAACAATTGCACAAGATGAACAGTCATGGATAGGTTAAGATCTGCATTATTGCAGGAATTAGTCACTTGTGTGAAATGACATCCATTGTTCTACTAAATGTTTGTGTACGTATAAATATGCATTTATATATAAAGATATGCAAAAATATACTAAGTTGAGCTTGCATTTATCAGAGACATCAGGTATTCATCACTTTATACCTTAATTACTCAGTTTAAACATGTAATCTTCCTTGACTTGTCTATAGGCAGACAACAAGACCACAATGAATCTACTGAAGGATTAAAGGGATGGCTTTCTATTATTATTATAAGGGTAAGACTTCCTTAATTTTCACACTGATTCATGTCTTAAAAATGGCATCCAATTGAACTTCAGATCTGATCCACAAAGCTTGGAACACATAACTTATAAACTGCTTCTATTTCTCAAGATGGTAAAACAGCAACAATAAGAATACCACATGATTTAACTATAATGTAGGGTGAGTCTTAAAACTACAGATGTTTTGAGCGTACTTGTCTCTGACTTCCCTTCCTTACTTCTTGCTGGTAAGCAAAGAAATACTCCCTCGCTTATTAATATCAGTGCTCCCCCAAATTTCCTAATCTTCCAGATCCTCCATCTTCTTTAAATCCCATAATCTATATACCTTTACTGAACCTTAGTCACACAAAGATAGTCACACTATAGATTTCATAGTTACTTACATGTGTTCTACTTCCTTAAATAAAAACTAACATTTCTAATAGGAGTAAGAACAAGTATTTATTAAGATTGTACTATATTCTGTGCATTGGACAGCTAGGTAGCACAATGGATAGAGTACTGGACCTTGACTCAGGAAGACTCATCTTCTTGAGTTCATATCTGGTCTCAGATGCTTACTAACTGTGTGACCCTGAGCAAATCACTTAACTCAGTCAACCTCTGTTTCACATCCGTAAAATGTGCTGGAGAAGCAAATGGTAAAGCACTCCAGTAACTTTGCCAAGAAAACCTCAAAATGGGGTCATGAAGAGTTGGGCATGACTGAAACAACTGAACAGAAACAAATATGCCAGGCACTATGTTAAACACATGATGGTTATTATATCGTTTGATTATACAAACAACTCTGTGAGATAAGTACTATTATAAACCACATTTCACCATTGAGGAAACTGATGCAGACAGTTTAAATGATGTGCCCAGGGTCACATAGTAAGTATCTGAGGAAGAATTTAAACTTAGGTCTTATCCTGACTCCAAGCACAGCAATTTTTCCCTAAGTTACCTAGGTGCTTTTAGGCTGCATAAAAGGTACCATTGGACCTAGAACAGATATGAATTTATTTCTATTCCATTTCTATTCTCCTTTCAGAAATATGTGTGTGTGTGTACATATATATATACACACATATGTTTAGTTCCATTGTTAACAATTATATTCTCAGCTTGTAGACCTTATTTTAATAGGTTTGTATGTTCACTATTTAACTAACATAGTACTTGTTCTCATACATCTTTCTCTCTCAAAAAAAAGAAACAACAGATGAATTGTATTATTTCTATCTCAGAAAATATAAAGATTCAGAGTCACTTACCTTCTATCTGCCTCAGGTTTCTTGTCCTTTAAAGTGGGGAAAATAATAGACTTATTATTCTTGTTCTGAGAGTTGTTGTGAGGATAAAATGAGATAATACTTGCAAGGCATTTTACAAACCTTATATAAATGCACTATACAAATCCTGGCTATTAATTCTATTATTGTTAAATGATCTTCTCATTATATAATCATAATTTTGATCAATAACAATGCTGAATGCTATATGCATTCCAGCAACTTTCTAGATCTTTCTAATAATTGTCATTATCAGTTCTTCTTCCAAGATTTCCTGAAGGCAGAATCAGATACTCGTAAAAAATTATTGAAACCTTTCATCTTTACATTACAATTATTTCCCATCTCACCCCACCAGATTGAACAATCTTGTGACAAAAATTCCCACCATAATTAAGCAGAAACATCCAATACAGAAAACTCATCTGACTGTGTACAATATGTATTTGTCCTAGTAGTACTCTGCCTCTCTGCTACAGGAGTGATGTATCTTTCCTTATCTCTTCTCAAGGACCTTCAATGGCTTTCCAATTACTCACACTTTAGCTTCCTTCCATTGTCTATTTTTTTATTATTGCATTGCTATTATCATTTTATATAATGTTGCCATGGGCATGATTTTATCATCCTGCATTAATTTGTATGAACCTTGCCTTTCTCTGAATTCTTTATATTTTTAATTATTGAAAAATAGTATTTAATTACATCCAGATATCAATATTTAAAGGTATTCTACAATCATTAAGGACCTTTTTTGTTACCACAAAGAATGCATCTGTGAATATTTTGGCATATATTCAATGTTTATTTCTGTTTGACTTCTCTGAACATAAACTCAGTAGTGATATTACTAAGAGAATTGGTAGTTTAGAGATTTTTATTCAAAATTCCAAAGTGAAATCAGAATGTTGAACCACTTTACAGGTCTATTAATAATACATCAGTGTGTCTATCTTCTCAGAGTCCAGCATTAACTGTTTCCATTTTTTTCTTTACTTTGTCAATTTGCATCGAATGAGGTGAAACCTCTGATGTGTTTTATTTTTCATTTTTCATACCATTAGTCATTTGGGATATGTATTCATGTAGCCATTTATACCTTTAATACTTCTTTTTAAAACAATTCACTTACATCTCTTTACTATGTACCTCTTAGGGGATGTCTTTTAGTGCTTATGTATTATGTCAATTCCTTGAACATTTTGTATACCAGGCATATTTTACAAATATTTTTCCAACTTTACCATATTGCTTGCAAGTCTCTCTTGATTTATTTTATTTATGGTAATGCTTTTGAATTTATATATTCAAAATTGTCTATTTTATCTTTTATGATCATTCTATCTCTTTTTTTCATCATTCTTAATCTCTCTATTCATCACATATTTCAATTCTTCATTGTTCTCTCTCTCATGGGCAAGCTAGGTGGAATGATGGATAGAGTGCTTTGCTTGAAGCCAGGAAGAACTGAATTAAAATCCATCCTCAGACACTTACTAGATCTGTGAGTTGACATTTATACAGTGCTTGAGTTTGTCCTCATAATAAATACATTACTTTGTTAGCTAGATTTAACATGTAAGAAAACTAAGGCTCATAGAAATGAAATGACTTGTCCATGATTACTCAGCTAACCAAGTATTTCAGGCAGGATGTGAACCTAGAACTTCCTTACTCCCAGTCTAACACTACAAACACTAAGTTATTCAACCACTGTTGAAACATCTGTAAGATAGAATTTGCACATAGTAGGGGTCATATAAATGTTAACTATGATGATGATAATGATGGAGATGATGATAATGATGATGGAAGTAGAAAACAGTGATCATAAAAGCAAAGAGGAACAGAAATGGTTGTCCTCCAGTAAAATACCTCTCTAGTGATAAAGGGATGGAATTAAGGTAACAAACACATGCATCATAGAATGACAAAATAATAGAATCAATGAATTTAAAGAAAATTTTGAAGTCATCTTTCTTAATCACTGTCCTCCTCATCATCATCATTGTCATCATCTCCACATTCACACAGTAAAATCATATTGAGCTTTCAATTCACTAAAATCTCTAGCTCTTTTCTACACAAATTTGTGTGACTATTTTTCATTCTTGCTTCATAGTTACATCTGACTTCAAACCTTTTAGGAAAACTAGATGGACTTTAGGTACTTGCCACGTTTTTATTGGGGTAGAAGACTAGGTGCTCTGATTGGAGTTTTACCTTTCATTTTTTTTACTTTAAGAATTATTCACATGGTACTTTCCACAAAAAAGGCTATATTGAATTTATTGGCCCTGGTTATAAAATCTACATAGCTACATCTATATTTAACACATTTTGAGATTGTTACAAGCAAAAACAGGAATAGCAACTTTACAGGCAATGAATTTCCCACACAAGTTGAAGAGGAGTTTTTATTTCTTCTTCTGGAGAACTTTGGGCCCCAAGGATATAAAAGAAGACAGAATTTCCCTCAGGATCTCTTCACTTAAAAAAATCCAGCACTGAAGGGGAAG